TAAGTACATGCACCATCAGCATTTTCTTTTTTGGGCCTAAAAATTATGTTTTGTTTTTGCAGAGCTCATTCCGTGGCCCTCTGTTATAGTGTGCAATGGCGGCAGGAGCAACCTTAAACTGGGTTAAAACCCCATTTGACACCCGGCGATTTCATGACCTATCTAGTTTAAGGTCCTTCGAATTCTTATTGTGAGCACTTCGTCTCAATGGCTTTCTTGCATTTTGAAACTAACACCTGCAACCATTTCTTGCAGTTTCCGATGCCGAAACCCTTTTGGATCAATTCAGCCCTGGTGGCTGCCAATTGATCAAGACTCATCCCTAATCAAAGTTCGTGTGGCTGCTGATTATTCAGACTCAATGCCAGATTCAAAGTACACGAGAGATCGGGGTTATCACCCTCTTGAAGAAGTTAAAGAACGTCCAAAGAAGAAGGACCTGTTGCTGACAGATGTCGAAACAGCTAGAACAGTAGTAGAGGTATGCTAACCTGGTGCAACTAAAAGTACTTGCGTTAGCTATTTAATGTTTCATATGTATCATTATGGCCTGTAGTATAGAGCTCCTGAACCAATCCAAATATATGTTGTAAAACCTTGCACAAATTCCTCTAGACGTGTAACAAACAAAATGATGATTTATATCTTTATGAGATATGTTAAGTGAGCATCTGAGCTTAGGTAACGTTTACAATCTTCCATCTTGTCTAGGCCAATAGCAAGGGGTTGCTTGTATTTCCTGCTAGGGTACACAATGAACCTCATGGACATGTTGCTTGGTCGGAGTTTCAATATGTTGTTGATGACTATGGAGGTAATGCCTTACTGCATAGGGGGGAAAATGTACAATAGAGCCTTTGCAGTGCTCATCTTGTGCAGCTAATCTGTTGGTAACTTGTGTGCAGACATTTTCTTTGAAGTACCTGACAGCGAGAACATCTTGGAAGATGATACTGCAAACAATCCTGTGGTAAGATGTTGTGCTGCTGTGCTCAACAGGACAATACTAGTTAAAAACTAGATAATAATAATTTTTTCCTTGTTACTGGGTTAGTTTCCTCATATGTAGATATGTACTCCATCCGTTCCAAATTATAGGTTGTTTTGCTTTTTTAGATACATATTTTTTCCTTTATATCTAGACATAGCGTATATCTAGGTGCATAGAAAAATCTATGTACCTAGAAAGACCTAATAATTTGGGATTGAGTGAGTATTATGCTACGGACAGACGAACAAGTTTACATAGCTCACATATTATTCCTTAGGGCTCAAGTTGAGTAGTCCTGATGAGTGACCTTGTATCCATTATGAATAAGGCTAAAATTTTGTTCTTCTCTCTGCCAAAAAGAAGTCATACACTCATAGGAGTCTAGACTCTAGAGTCTATCTGCCAGGGATCATCTGGTATTATGTTGCATGGTAGTTATTCCTTTAAGGGCTAATGTTCACAATACAGTATCATTTTTCCCTTTTTTTTCTCTATGTAAGCTAGTGCAGATGCATTCTATGGTCAGTAATGTGATGTTAATGGGTTGCACTCGTTGAGTTTTTTCAGCTTGCAATTTAGTGCTGCAGTGAACATGCCATTACCTTGCTACAAAATAGTGTTACTCTGAAGTAAAACAATTTGTACACCAGTGTTGAAATGATGCTTTAATAATTGCACTATTGCAGACAGTTTTGATTGGATTGGACAGACCCATTATTGGAGAAAGTAGTGTGGCAATTAGTGATTACATGGATGGTGAAAATTTAATGGACGTTCCTGATGAGCACCACACCAAGGTTTGCTAACAAATTATTTTTCCTGCTTTCAGCAGGTACTATGAGTCATTTTTGTTATTAGCAAGAAGCACTATCATTATTGATGTTTCCTTTGTGAAATGTCCCAGATTGATACAGAAATAACTGATATTCTCATAGAGTGGGGGATGCCTGCAACAATGCATGCAATACATCCGATTTACTTTGCCAAATGTTTGACAAAGGTAAGAGATAAATAGTTATTGAAGAGGGCAGACACCACAAAACAGCAGCCCTTGAAATAATAAATGGTGAAGCTGATAAAGATGCTATTAACAATTCGTTGAATTCGGCTTACATCATGCACGATTTGAAAGTGAACCTTCAGATCATGCACTTTAGATTGCAGACGCCAGACCACTCGGGTTGCCACATATCAAGTTCTGAAAAAAGGCAAAGATAGAAAATCGAGATGGTCTGACGTTAGCTTCAGAGTACGGATCTTTCAGCAGGGACAACGAATGCCAGTAAAACCAAAGAAAGAACGGCAGCATTTTGATTTCTTGCTCTGAGTATCCCTTTTCCCATCATTTAGTATTGGATAAAATCTCTGCTAAAAATGGAATATATTTAAAGGCCATTGTGACTTTTATATATATGCCAATCTGAACTTGTTCTATTTGTCTGAACTTTCATGTGTCAGTTTGTTGTAGAATAAAAGCTTCACCAAAGCCTGTCTCATAGCATGAGTGGTCACAAGAGCACAGCCCTAAATGTGTCCCTCATCAAATCACTCGAGTTGCAGAGAACTAGGCAATCACGTTACCTGCTCTTTTACTATACAGGCCGTTCATAATAATAATGGGAAGAAGATGGATAGTCCATCAAATGGTATCTCTATTGTAGGATATCTGAGACCTGCTTTCATAGAGGAAGAATCTTACTTGAGGAGCTTGTTTCATGGTGAATGCAGCAGTGATCGTTATTCATCTGACTGGAAAGGTACTCCTGTAGAAAAATTGGATAAGAATAAGCTTCTTTCATTCTCTCAAATCTTATTTGACAATCCAATGCCATTTTGGATGTAGTAAATGAAACAGATGAATACAACAGAGAAACTCGGCCAGTTTCTGGAACCAATCGCCTCATTGGTAATTTAGTTGGTTGAAATCTTGCACTTCAGCTATCCACTTTACTCCAATTTTCATTTGACTAGTATTAAGCAAATATTCAGATGGTGATAAATCAAGATTTGACTTCAGTGATGCTGAAACTAGCACTGATTCAATGATCTACAAGCTGGAGATAATGACAATTGAACTGTTTTCCATGTATGGCAAGCAGGTAATGTTGCTTCAGAATATCATATGACTACTTGCTCTCGGTATTGTGGCCATTACAGTTTCGTATATTCTGTGGATCACTGCAGTTTATGATTGATCCACAAGATTTTCAAGATTCAGAACCAGATATTCTTGCAAATTCTGCTTCAGGGATTATAGAACGGATCAAAGAAAATGGTGACCAATGTGCAATGGCTCTCAGGTCGCTCTGTCGCAGGAAAAAGGGCCTTACTGTCGAGGTGTGTTTGTTGCCACTGATGAGTCATTTTCATGTTCACAATCTCAAATTATCATTCCTATGCATGGAATGCTCTTATTTTAACCATATGTCCAAATTCAGTATTTCATTGTGAAAAGGGTAGTCCATTTTTCAACCGCCAACTTTCGTGGTAGTTCCGTTTTCAAGCTTGAACTACAAAATCGAGCACCAAACACCCTTCGACTGTCAAATTACGTTCAAATTTGGTCCTCTTCTTGGTTTCAAAGGTAGTTTTCTATTTTGTAAAAATAATAAAAATCTGGTTTAATCTCTAAAATTTCATAACTAATTTATTTTAAATCAGAAAAATATGAACCTGGTACCATTTTTTTTCTCCTAAAAATGTTATCTTGGAGGTTGAAAATGTACTTTACCCCTAATTAAGCATGATGTTCTCACTGTTGCATTGCTAATAGGACAAGCATTCCTTTAGCATAAGCTTTGTTTGCAATCTGACATGTTCTGTAGGAGGCAAGCTTGATTGGTGTTGACAGCCTTGGTATTGATGTAAGGGCCTTTTCTGGCTTGGAAGCTAGGACCGTTCGATTTTCATTCAATGCACAGGTTAGTTATTGGGTTTCATAAACTTTTAAAATTACCTCGTTTCTTTCAATGGAAGCTAGAACAATTCCTTGTAAACTTTGGTTTCAGGCGCTCTCTGAACGTTCAGCTGAAAAGAAGATCAGGCGAATGCTTTTCCCCCGTTCCCAGCGTAAAAACGTGAAAACCTCTACTGAAGATGTGTCTTAATCTATCAGCTGATTTTCCTTAGAGAGCATGTAAACACCTGGTTCAAAGACAAGGGTGTCAAGGGAATCAACACAATATCAATGATTTGGTCTTATGCGAGTTTGCTAGGAGATAGCGCACAACCTGTCGACTATGAGGATGACCAAAAGCATCAGAGTACCTGATTGAGGTTTTGACCTCGCTGATGAAGGAAGGTTGGCCTTCCAAGAATATAGTTTGGTTTCAGACAGATAATAAAAAGCAAATAAGGTGCCAATTCGTGTAAAAGATGCACTGCCATTTTATGCTGGCGGAAACTGATTAGCTGACCAAGCTTTGTCAGCTACAAATTCCCAGTAATAACGAGCTGCGAGAGGAAAGGGCAGAGTAATAAGATCTCGTTGGCCTGAATCAGATCTTCTTACCCCAACTTGTAACTAACTTTGTTGTCTCTTTCATGTCTGAATAAATGTAATGTAACGCAACTGTGATTATGTCGTTGTTGAACTATACAAAAATGAAAAATTGATAAAGTTTCGAGTGCTTGTAGCTGTCAGAGCCTACTGTGCTCGACTGTACTCGTTTACTGTAAGAAAACGCCGTGCAGTTCTTTTTTCCAGGTTAATTTACAGAACAAAGAGGATTGTGCTACGTTAGCCCATTAACCGGACTGCTGCCGCGCCGGACTGCAACCCGGCCCAAAGTAAAGCTAGGTTTGGGCTTTTGTGGGCCATGATTTGGAAAAAGGTCCTTAACATTTCCCGTGCATACCGTTAAGCCCCTCCTCGCCGGCCGGCGGCCGCAATTAACCCCGCTTCCACGAAACTAGCCGTTGTACCCGTCTCTCCCGAAAATCCATCCCGCTTGGCCGCTTCCCCTCGACGGCCACACCCCCTTCTCCGCTCCGCTCCGATCTCTCCTGCATGGCCGCCGCCACAGCCCCGCCGTCGCAGAGCGCGGACCTGATGCCGCCGCCGCCGCCCCCTCCGCCCGTCCCGCCGCCGACTGCGCCGCGTCCGCGCCGCCGCGCAAGGGAAGTCAGCTCCCGGTACCTCTCAACGCCAGTCCCCTCGACCCCGCGCCTCTCCACCGCCTCCGCGGCCTCCTCCACGCGGTCGCGCTCCCCGTCGCCGTCGCCTCGTGGACGGCAGCGGGCGGCCACGCCCTTCGCCAACGAGAACCACCGGCCCCCGCCGCCGCCGCCCACGGGCACCGTCGCGCGCCGGCGGGCCGTCCAGAAGCTTTTCGAGGAAACCGGCGCCGGGAACCCGCGCGCCTTGGTGGGCTCCAACTCCTCCGCCGTGTCCGCAGCTACTCCGCGGCAGCTCCCGCGCTCCACCAGCGGGCCGGCCGCGCCCACCGCGCGGAGAGGGTACCCGCGCCTTCCGACGCCCGCGCGTGCTGGCTCCTGCCCAGCCTCCGCCGCGGTGGAATCCGACACCGCTTCTTGCTGCTCTTCGTCTGATACGTCGTCCACGGCCACTGACTTGTCTGAGGCCGATCGGGCGCTCGGGATGGCCCCAGCCTTGTCGTGCGAGAGCCCGCCGCTGCTGGGCCCAGCGTCCTGCCGCTGGGGACGCCTCTCGTCAGAGCTCCGCTCGTCGGTGCCGGAGTCGGGCGGGTCCTCGCGGGCGTCCAACCCACTGTGCTACCGCTCGCTCAACTCGGCACTGTCGATCTCAACGGCGAAGCTGACGGCGGCAGGGAGGCCACCACAGCCGCAAGGGCCGAAGGCAGCTGATCTGAAGAGGGCGGCCATCGTGGGGGGCAGGAAGGTCGCGGGGAAGCAGGAAGACGTGCACCAGCTGCGGCTGATGGACAATTCGTACCTCCAGTACAGGTTCCTCAACGCCCGGGTTGAGGCAGCAGGCAGGGCCAAGGCGGCGGCTGCAGAGGTGAGGGGTTGTTAGTGGATCGGGCCAGCCGTCACGGGGGTGGCTATCTTGTTCTGGTTGATAAGAGAGCGAATTAAGGTGCTGACGACGATTTGTTTTTTTGGTTTTGTTGGGTGCAAAGAAATCCTTGTACGGGCTCGAGGAGAGGATCGCCAGCCTCAGGGTATCTGTTGCTGAGAAGAGGGCAGAGATGGAGAGGATGAAAAGGCAGCATACATTGAGTTCAGTAGTAAATGCGCAGGTAAGGTGAAACTGTGATTTTCTGAATTTTGAATTGCTGCTGTGTTCAGTGTGCATTTCTTCATAATGGGTGCTAACCAAATTGCTTGATTGTTGAATCTAAGCTACCTAAATTCTTCAATTAGATAAATTATAGGGGATGTTGGGTGTCCATTTCATGTGAAGAGAGCTAGACACTGATGTGGGAACCTCGCTCAGAATTGCTCTTCACTTAAATAAAAAAAGTAGAGACTTTTAGGAATGTCACTAAATGGATATGTTTGACTACTATATCAACTGAATTCATAAGTAGAACAACATTATTTAAATCCAGAATAGGGTTAAGTGTCCAGAATTAAATCCAGTTTTCCCATTCCGAAGTTTGTTTTTTTAAAAAAAAAAGGAAAATGTATTACAGTTTGTGTGGTACTCTCCTTTTTCTTTTCGTTGTCTGTATAAAATAGACAAAATATATAGGTGAAGCTCTTGAAAGCCATGTATATTTTGATAGTCTGAGTTTATTTGTATCAAATCGGGTACCATGCTTTGATTTATATTTGTTTAGTGGGATATATGGTAAAAAGCATGTATATATTGTCAATGTGAATTTTACATGCAACAGAATAGGGTTAAGTATTCAGAATTAAACCAGTTGCCCCATTTAGTTAATATTTCTTCTTTTTCAAAGGAAAATAGAAAATATATTACATGATTTGTGTGTCACTCTCCTTGTTTGATTTTCTGTATAGAATATACAAAATATATAGGTGAAGCTCTTGAAAGCTTATGTGTATTGTGACACTGGGATTCTTTGTATCAGAGTGGTTATCTTGCTTTGATTTATATTTATTTGCTTACGATAGGTATATATATGGTCAATATGAATTTTACATGTAACACCTTTCTGTTACGTTACTCTAGAACAGAGATGTGAAACTCTCAGGTGTCATATTTGATTAACTCTAAAAGAGAGATGTGAAACTTTCAGGTGCCATATTTGATTCAGTGGGGTGAGATTGAGGGGAGTCATGCAAGCTGCCTTAGAGGGGCAACAACAGCACTGTCTAACGCCTCGTTACGGCTACCAATCATTGGGAGTGTAAATGTAAGACTTCAATACTTCATTAGACATCAGTTCTGTCATTATGTGCATAAGGCCAAATATCATGTTTGATATGCTTGCAGGCCAACTGCGAGGAACTTACAGAAGTCCTTAAGTCAGCAGCACAATTACTTGAACCGCTTTCACCTTGCATCGAAAATTTCCTACCAAAGGTGAGACTACAGGGATTTTTGAAAAACATATATACCAAAACAGTGTGATGCCTAGCTTTCTTTAGATGCTTCTGGGACATGTTCAATAACTAAAATCATTGAATATATCCCTAAATTCATCGTATCAGGATATAGTTTTAGATGAAATATAGTGAGAATATTTAAACCTTTCAACCTACCACCATATGATTTGCAATTTCTAAGCTATAACTCAAAATCAGATAGGGTGAATAAAATTGCAAATTTAATGAAATAGAAACTTAGTTCCTAGGGTAGTAGTGTTCCTTTTTAATTCATATACCTATCATCGCTTCTTGCCTTAACTATATTGATGAAGTTTGTGTTTAGAAATTTGCAAAGTTTTAGATAGATTCAGTGGTTGTGGTGAATATGGTGTTCTCATTTGATTCGCTGTACTTATTTATTATGCAACAAAAAAATATCTTGTCATATAAGTACTTATTTATGCAACAAGAAAATTTATATTGCCATGTAGGTTGAACAAGTCGACGATGTGGCCTCTAATCTGGCCCAGGTTATCGCTACTGAGAGAACCTTGATAGAGGATTGTGGTAATCTCCTACACCAAGCACAGAACCTGCAGGTATGGATCTAAATTGATGATCATCTCACTTGAGTCAGCATATACCACTTTCCCTGGCTGGCATCTGCTCTAACTTTGCCACAAAATATCCAACTGATGCGATGACAAATTCCAATTGCATAGATGAGGGAGTCCAGCTTGAGGAGTCAAGTGATGCAACTGAAACAAAATGAAGCAAAATAGAAGGAAGAGGGGGAAAACACGCCGCCAGGTCGTTTGTTCAACACTTCAACTGAGTGAGCTAACTGTGCTCCACTGTTGGATGTCCAAGAGGACGGAAGTTGCCTGATCATATATACATCACCAAAGGCATAAGTGGATTCTACGAATTGCTGATTCTTTTCCAGTACATATGTTATGTAACTTTCTGTGGAAACATTTTTGCCGTCTAGCTATTGGAAAAACAGATACGAGCATAGTTTTAGAAATGGAAATTTGTTGATTCTTTGTAGTTCGCGTGTTGCACAAATACCATTGCCTTTTTGTTAGTATCTGGGAAGAACCCAGGTCTGTGTTTGACGAAAAATATAAATATCAGCACACTCTTGTTAAGACGTGTCAGAAAAATATACATATTATTACTCGCTAAAACAGAACATTATTTTGAGAATAAAACAGGAACAGCTTGGTTAAGGAACACCAACTACTAGTCTACTAAAAATTATAAGATTTTAGCGAGACAAGTGTTTCTCACGAAATGTGCAAAAGAGTCGCTAATGTATTTGGAGAAATTGAGTTGGCAGACCTTAAACTTGGGTGAAGGAACCCAACAACTCGAAACTGGGCCACGAAGGAACCCCAACGCTCAGCTTATCCACTTGTGTAAGGTAAAAGTGCGTACCTTTTCTATTTCGGTCATGTTTAAATTCAGTGAGTAATAGGGATGTCACATCGGGTGTTATATGGGGTTGTTACATAGGGTGTTCGGATACTAATAAAAAACAAATTACAGAATCCTTCAGTAATCCGCGAGACGAATTTATTAAGCATAATTAATCCATCATTAGCACATGTTTATTGTAGCACCACATTGTCAAATCATGGACTAATTAGGCTTAAAAAATTCGTCTCGTAAAGTAGTCGCAATCTATGCAATTAGTTATTTTTGTAGTTTATATTTAATACTTCATGCATGTGTCCAAACATCCGATGTGATAGGGAGTAAACTTTAAGGACAAGAACTAAACAAGGCCTTTATCGTAGTATCCATGTGCAATCTTCTTTCTATGTTTAATTATTATTGTTTGAACCACATCAAACCGAAAAATCTTATGTTAAATTATTGTTGTTTGAACCACGTCAAACCAAAAATATCTAAAACCAAATACAGTATAGAATTTGAAATATAATATATATTTATGAATCAAGGATAAAAAATGAAAGCAGAAAGGTCAATAAATTATGTAATCATTTTTAAGAACATCATTCTGCTAAGTTTATAAAACCAACTATATTTACAAAGTTCTAATGTATTATTATGGAAGGATGGAGCCCATATGTTTTGTTGTTAATTCCTCCTTTTTTGAAAAGGCGCCCTTTTGTGCTGCCGTTGCTCTGATAAGACAGTGACTGAGCTCTGGCGATAATGTTTGCACGCTGGTAGTGGCTGTCGCCGTCGGAAGAGGACACGGTGATGCTCCGGCGAACCAGACGACGCGCACGCGCGGCGGCACATCTCTACGCCCGGATTGGTCCCGTCAAAGCTGACGCGGCGTCCTTTGGCGTCATCTCAAGCGGCTGTTTCCTCTTCCTTGTCGAGCCAAACGAGAGCCGATTCGGAGCCTGGAGAAAGAAAACGCACTATGCACTCTACAGTAGCAGCAGATGTGCAGGCGGCAGGCTAGGAAAGATCAGATCATGGAGGGAAACCTCCCCTCCTCGTCGTTTCCTTGTGACCGTACGGCGAGAAGGCGACGCGGTGCGGAGAAAAAAAGTGGCGGGTAGATTGCGTTGTGAAATCGAGAACGCACCGTCGCCGTCGCCGTCTCCGCCCTGCGCGCGCAAGTCTCCGGCGCGAGAGACGCCGGCCACACACACGGCACGGGCTCGGCGGACCGACCCGTCGCGTCTGGCCGCTCTCGTACGTAGCTTGCAAGATACGGGTAGAAAGTGTCCCGACGACGACGACGAGCCGTTACTGCGCCCGCCGCGACTGGCCCGCGGTCCGCGCGGTGAGTCGCCGTCGACGCGCGAGATCGTTGCGGTGAAGGGAGCACGGACAGATGCAGTGTACGTAAGCGTGACGTACGACGGCAGCCGAGATCCTCCACGATCGCGTGGTAAAAGATGTGTTGAGGGGTGCATGGGTTCGTGCAGTCCTGGGGTGTGGGGTGGGTTGTATTGTACCACGGCCTCTCCTCTGGACTCGTGGTGTGTTGCGCGTTAGCTGCAAATGGTTGCCGTGTCTTTCTGAAGAACCATACGAGATGCTGTACGGCATTGCACGGATGAAAAACAAAATCCGTTAGGCCATCGCGATTTCGCATGTGCAGAATCTCTTCTCTGAACAAACATCCACACGAGTCGAGCACGAGCCACGGCTGGCGCAGGGCCCCACGAAGCCGCAACGGCCGGGCCTGCGCGGCAGCAACCGCTCTCCTGTCCTGTCTGGCTGTCTCCTCTGCTCTGCCCTGCCTCTTCAAATACCAACACGGCGCCACCACTCTCGCGCCGCACTCATCACTCGGAGCCGGAGCATCCGATCCTCCTCCACTCCACCGTACGCCCGTACCAGCCGTTGTGCCCTGCGCGGTGTGCTGCGCGATACGCGGACTTGGCTCGCGGCGGCCGTGCCGCTCTCGGTGCCGTCGACGCCGGCCGTGCTCGCGGCGCTGTCCCTCGCGGCCGCGGCCGTCGCTCCTCCTCATCTCCGCCGTCGTCTCCAACTCCCACCACGCGGCGTCCTCCTCGTCGCCGCAGCTCCCCCCGTCCGCCAGCGCCTCCACCACCGCGGCTCCGGCCCCGGCGTCCGTGCCCGACTCGACTCCGAGATCGATGTGATTGTCACGTCTCTCTCCGTTCACGTGCTCATATGCGTCACTGACAGGTTGCGAGCTTTGGGGACTATCTGCTCAACTATGGCGTACTCACCATGTCCATGTCATGGAATGGGCCTTATGCCATGCATAGTGATTGGGCTACACTAGTTAATGGGCCCGTAAGCCGACTTGTATGTTGCAAGGGTGTAATTCCTGAGCTTTGGCCCACTTTCGTTTTGCACTCTCTGTTAAGACTTGTTGTGTGGGCGGTTGGGCGGACAGCGATCAAGTAAAACCTAAATTTCCCAATTCTTCTTCCTCCTGGTGCTGACCTGCTTCTGAGGCGGCGTTGCCGTGCTCCTCGCCGTGCGCATACGCCGGCAACACCTTCTTGTTATCTCTGGATCGTGACATTTGGTACCAGAGCCTTTCGATCCGTCGCGGATACTGGATTCGTAAAATCCCGTCGCCGACGGTTGAATCCAGAGCTCTCGCGGTCAATCCACCATCCCCCATCTCTGCCGCCGCCGGATTCGTCATCGTCGATGTTCAATTCGCCACCACCTCCTTCCCCTACCTCCACCGTCGCCGATTCCACTGCGCCACCTAGTTTTTTCCATACTGCCGATCTATTTTCCTTCCACCCCAATCTCTTCGCCCCCACCGCTTTCGGTCGATCCACCACCAAATCCATCCCAGTTACCCCACTCGCTGGTACGCAAACCCAGACCACCGACCCTCACCTCCCGAATGGCGACAACAGAGGAAAAGCTCGACGCGCTCGGTGCGCAGATGAAGTCCATGCTCCTGTTCATGGAGACCTTAAATTGTTGGCGTCCTAAGGTCGACCACTTCTCCACCGAGTTAACCAAGGAGATCAAGGCTCTCACGTCGCGCGTGGAGGCGTTGGAAGCGAACAATGCTCCGCCATTGGCCCCGAAGCGCGAGGAAGAGGGGCGGGCCATGGGCCACGGCGCTACAACACCACCACAGAGGAATGATGGGGGGACTCTGATCCTCACTCATCCCCTGGCCAATGGTCAGTTATCCACCTCCAATTCCCCAGTTCATTGGCCCCGTTCGGCTTACCTTATAATCCGCACTATTCAGCTTGTTTTTTCAGCCGGAACAGTGTTTTTCTCTCACAACAATTCAGTCAGAACAGTGTTTTTCAGCCAAGTTTCAGCAAGCCGAACGGGGCCAATATCATAGTGCGCCTACACACAATGAATGTCGTTTGCCTAAGGCCCAGTTTTCCAAATTTAATGGGTCTCATCCAAAAGTCTAGAAAGAAAAAACAGAAAAATACTTTGACATGTTCAATGTCCCGGTGCATCGCTGGGCTCAGTATGGCACCCTTCATTTCAAAGGGCATGCTGCTTTATGGTTACAAACCTATGAAGCACAACATGGGGTGGATAACTGGGTTGACCTCTGTATTGCTATTGAATCTAAATTTGGGAAAGATCTCTATCATAACTCTATGCAGGAATTACTGAGCATTAAGCAAATCTCTGATGTTCAGGACTATTATGATAGATTCCAAACTATCATGCATAAAGTGCTGGTGCATAACAATCATTTAGATGATGTGTTCTTTGTTAGCAAATTTCTTCAAGGCTTGCATCCTGACATACGAGCTGCTATTGTTTTACATAAGCCGAGAACAGTTGATGTGGCTTTGTTACTGGCTCTTATGCAGGCCGATGTGTTGAAATCTCAACCCAAGTATTTTAGCAAGCGCAATTATCGTGACTACAACAAGTATCACGGCAAGCCACCGTAAGCCGCACCACCTGGTGTTCTAGGCGCCCCACCAGCTGAAGATACAAAGCCAAAGTGGGAAAACAAGCTTGCAACATTGCGAGCTCAGCGGAGCGCTCAAGGCTTATGCATGAAGTGTGGCGAGAAATGGGGCCGCAACCATAAGTGCCCTGATAAAGTGGCTCTGCACATCTTGGAAGAATTCATGGAGCTGATTTCAGATGAAAGCCCTCCTGACCAAAATACTTCAGATTCTAGTGATGAAGATGAAGCTGTGTTTGCTCTGTCTCAGTCAGCAGCAATCGGAGTTCCAGGCAAGAAAACTATCAAGCTCCATGGCATCGTCAAGGATCAAGAACTGCTCATCCTCATTGATTCGGGCAGCACCTGCACATTCATTAGCGACAAAACGGCTACCGCACTTAACTGTGTCCTAATGCCTGCTCCTCCCATTCAAGTAACAGTGGCGAATGGCGATAAACTTCAGAGCACCCATTAGGTCCTCGACTTCCGTTGGTAGTCTCAGGGGCACACGTTCACAACTGATGCTCGTGTGTTGCCCTTGCAGTACTATGATATGGTGTTGGGTATGGACTGGTTGGAACAACACAGTCCCATGTGGATACACTGGAAAAGATAATTATTGAGGTTTTCTTTCAGGGCAACAGAATTAGCTTAAAGGGGGTCAAAGATACCTTATCCAGTTGTCCCAAAGTGAAAGTAAGGAAGTTAAAAGGCCTTATCAGGAAAGGCGGCATAGCTCAGTTGATTCACTTATGTCACGTAACAACACCTTCAGCTTCAGACAACATTCATGTGCCAGTACAGCAGTTAGTGGACAGTCAGGCTCATCTTTTCAGGGACCTAGATTCCTTGTCGTCGTCTAGGGAGTTTGATCACTAGATCCCTCTGTTACCTGGTGTGAAGCCTATCAATATCAAGCCTTACAGATACTCACCGACATAGAAAGATGAGATTGAGCGTCAGATCAAAGAAATGCTCTCCAATGGCATCATTAGGCCAAGCCAAAGTCCTTTTGCATCCCTAGTGATCTTGGTCAAAAAGAAAGACGGCAGTTGGCGCTTTTGTGTTGATTACCGGCAACTCAACAACATAACTATAAAAAACAAGTACCCATTACTAGTGGTCGATGAGCTTCTAGACGAGTTGAATGGAGCAGCTTGGTTCACCAAGTTAGACATGCGATCAGGCTATCATCAAATTCGGTTGGCTCCTGAAGATGAAGCCAAAACAACCTTCCATACTCACAGTGGGCATTGGGAATTTAGAGTAATGCCATTTGGACTCACAAATGTCCCAACTATCTTTCAAGCTTTGATGAACACTATCTTCCAACCACTGTTGAGGAAATGTGTACTGGTCTTCGTTGATGAGTATGATGACATACTCATTTACAGTCCCACACTGGAAACTCACCTGGAACATCTGCAGCAAGTCTTCAGCATTCTCAACGATCATCAGTTCTTGCTTAAGAGGTCTAAATGTTCTTTTGCTCAACAAACTTTAGAATATCTTGGTCATATCATTAGTGGACATGGTGTGGCGACAGATCCAAAGAAAATTGAGGCTGTGGCTAATTGGCCTCCACCATCAGATACCAGGCAGTTGCGAGGGTTTCTCGGTCTATCTGGCTACTATCGAAAGTTCATCAAAAATTATGTTATCCTGAGTCGACCTCTTACTGATCTATTAAAAAAGGATGCTCTATTTCATTGGACACCGCAACTGCAAACATGCTTTGACAACTTGAAACAAGCCCTCATTTCAGCACATGTGCTAGCATTACCAAACTTCCACAAAGCCTTCACAGTTGAGACCAACGCTTCATCCACTGGTATTGGTGCAGTGCTATCTCAAGACACACACCCAGTGCTTACCTGAATAAGGTCATTGGCCCCAAAGCTCAAGCACTCTCAACGTATGAGAAGGAGTGCATAGCACTCATTATGGCAATCACAAAATGGAAGCCTTACCTCCGGCACAAGGAATTCACCATTGCAACCGACCATAAGAGCCTCATTCATCTTGGGGAGCAAAAGCTACATGAGGGTATGCAACAAAAAGCTTTCATCAAGCTGTTGGGCTTACGGTACAAAATTATTTACAAGAAGGGTTTGGAAAACAAAGCAGCAGATGCTCTTTCTAGGCAAGCTGAGCCTGTATCTCTAGCTGCTATCACTGCTAGCACTCCTAAGTGGTTGGAAATCATTTTGGAGGGCTATCAGCAAGATGACCAAACCAAACAGTTGCTCACTGAGCTCAGTATTACTGGTTCCAATGACAAAGGCTTCATTCTCAGTGATGGTTTGATCAAGTACAAAAATAGAATATGATTGGAAAACCATAAGGAAGCGCAGCAAGCTGTCTTACTAGCTCTTCACTCTAGTGGCTTGGGAGGGCATAGTGGAATTACAGCCACATATCAGAAGATGAAGTCACTATTTGCCTAGCCAAATATGAAATAATTTATCATGGATTACATTAATGCTTGTGAGGTATGTGCCCAAGCTAAATCTAAACACTGTAGATTACCTGGTCTATCGCAACCACTGCCTATTCCTACTCATGTTTGGCACACCATTAGTTTGGATTTTATTGAGGGCTTGCCTAAATCCAAAAACTTTGACACTATCCTAGTTGTCATTGATAAACTCACAAAATATGCTCACTTCATCTGTTTGGCCCATCCATATACTGCTTTATCAGTAGCCCAAGCTTTCTTAGGCAATGTGTACAAACTGCATGGCATGTCTTCCATCATCATATCTGATAGGGATAAGATTTTCACTAGTGCCCTTTGGCAAGAACTATTTAGGCTCACAGAAACCACACTCAATATGAGTTCTGCCTACCATCCACAAACCGGTAGCCAAACCGAACGCTTGAATCAGTGTCTTGAAACCTATCTACGCTGCATGGTGCACTCCTGTTCCCAGAAGTGGGCACAATGGATTCTTTGGCCGAGTTTTGGTATAACACCACCTATCACTCTGCACATGGGCATACACCCTTTGAAGCCTTGTATGGCCATCCTCCCAAACACTTCGACATCACCGCTTCTGACACTTGCACAATTGCTGATCTAGATGACTGGCTTCGGTCATGAAACACTATGATGCAGCACATCCAACAGAATTTGGCTCGAGCACAGCAGCGCATGCAACACCAGGCCGATAAGCATCGCCAAGAAAGAACTTTTGCTGTTGGTGACTGGATTTATGTTAAACTGCACCCTCATATTCAACACTCAGTTCAGCGAAGATCCAATCAGAAACTCAGCTATAAATACTTTGGGCCTTATCTTATTCTGCAAACTGTTGGCAATCTTGCTTATAAGGTACAACTTCCAGCCACCAGTCAGATTCATCCGGTGTTGCATGTATCTCAACTGAAGAAGGCCTTGCCTCCTAATGCTTCTCTGTCCAAGGACGCTGAAATGCAGTTGTTGCTCACTCTAGATACTCTACCACCCTCCCAGGTATTGGCTGAACGTCTAAATCTGGTTGGGCGTCATGTTATTCCTTCTGTGCTTGTGCAGCGATGAATCATGTCCGACGCATTGGGCGACCTGGTAACCAGCTGCAACCATCTCCAAATTCATACCCAGGGCGTTGTCCACGTCAACTATTGCATCACGAGGACGCGTTGCAACTTAAGGAGGAGGGATTGTCACGGAATGGGCCTTATGCCATGTATAGTGATTAGGCTACACTAGCTAATGGACCCGTAAGCCGACTTGTATGTCATAGAGGTGTAATTCCTGGGCTTGGCCCATTTTCGTTTTGCACTCTCTGTTAAGACTTGCTGTGTGGGTGGTTGGGCGGACAGCGATCAAGTAAAACCTAAATTTCACAATTCTTCTTCCTCCTGGTGCTGACCTGCTTCTGAGGTGGCGTTGCCGTGCTCCTCGCCGCATGCGCATACGCAGGCAACACCTTCTTGTTATCTCCAGATCGTGACAGTCCATTGCTCCGAGGAATAGACTTGGACCACAAGTGCAGCTCGCGTTGGAGCGTGGACTGCCTGCAATGATCGGAGCGCTTGTTGCTCACAGGCTACCATATCCATCGAGGTCCTTCGACATGGTGCACTGTGCGGACTTCCTTGTTCCATGGACTGCTCATGGTAGGACATGCAAGACATCATGCTATTCCTGAATCCTGACCAAACATACTTCCTGATGCATCATCTATTCACTGTATCTACTTTATTATTTCACTGATTACTAATTTCTTCCAATTAAAGTGAATTTCCTATTGGCAAATGTTGGAGTCAGTGAACATTGAACAGAACACCTCCTCATATGTCGATGTCAGTACTAAAGTACAGTTTTTTGGTCGAGTGCTCTTGTTCTCATTCACCTATAGCTGATTCCAGATGAGCTCTATATGCTGGAAATTGACCGTCTTCTCCAACCTGGTGGCTATTGGGTTTACTCTAGGCCACCAGTCAACTGGAAATCTGCATACAACATTTCGAATCAAGGGACCAGAGACATGCAGGACAATCAATTAGCTATGGATGATATGTCGAATAAGCTTCGTTGGACTAAGGTGTCTGAAGAGGGCACGATTTCTGTTTGGAGAAAGCCTTCTTGTCATCTCCACTGTGACCAAGAAGCAAATGCAAAGCTCTTAGGATTGCCACCACTCTGTACAGGAGAAGACCCAGATAGTGCCTGGTAAGTTTGTAATTGTCTCCCTGTCACTTTGCATATCCAGTTAATTGCAATGAAAGATTTGCAAATTTTAGCTTCAGCTATCCGAGTTCGTGTAAATCGAAATAGAATGTAAAAGGACAATACTCATCTTGAAATGTTGTTGTCTTATCAACCACGGTGCAACCTCATTTTTTTTTTTTTTTTTTTTTTTTTTGCCTTCATGGTATCCTTGTGTTATGACAATGCACACGATAGTTTAACTGGATAAGTAAACTTATTTAATTTGATTTTGTGGTTGTTAATCAGACACCGACGAAAGTTAGTAAGTTGTATTCGTTGTAGTATGAACTTACTCTAAAACCATATCATCATCTACATATGTTCTGTTCTGAATGATTTAATGTCATGTGCAGTTGTAAAGTTTATTTAGTCAAATACAGTACCACGAACATTTTAGGAGAGTTCACAATATGGATAATTCAAAGTAACACGAGCACATTACTACAATAAGGTGCACCAGTGTATTCAAAGGAACTAGCTGCCAAACTGGGGGAAAACACTTGTTGAGCCATGGAATAATCTAATATTTACTCTTGCATCAAAGTTTTGTTTATCAAATTCTTCCAACATTACAGTCTTGTTAAATATAACTTTTGTTATGGTGCAGGTATGCGAATATTTCAATGTGTATGGCATGTATTCCAAGAGCTGAACCTTTTAATGGCTGTGCTGGTGGTGCCATGGAAAAATGGCCTAAAAGACTTGTTGCAGTGCCACCAAGGATAGCCAGTGGGGAAATGAAGTGGTTGTCCATTCAGAGATATAAACATGACACTTTGATTTGGGAGAAAAGGGTTAACTTCTATTTAACATATCTAAAATATTTGTCTAATGGAACTTACAGAAATGTCATGGACACGAGTGCTGGTTTTGGTGGCTTTGCTGCTGCTATGTCCAAGCATCCTGTTTGGGTCATGAATGTGGTTCCTGCAAATACAACAGAGAATACTCTTGGTGTCATCTATGAGCGAGGTTTGATTGGAACATACACTGACTGGTAATGTTAATGAAACTTTTTTTCTTGAAATAAATTGATACTTCCAAAATATATAGTCAGATATATAAAATAACTCCCAATATTGCTTGTTAATATATTTTCCAGGTGTGAAGCCTTCTCTACTTATCCACGAACATATGATCTGATACATGGTAATGAAATCTTCAGCTCCCATATTCACAAGTAAGTGACCCGCTAACCTTGCTATGTTTAAGCCTCTGAAAGAGAACAAGAAAGGCATAGACTGCTTCTCACAAAGCAAATGAACAATTCAAGTAGTACATAATAGTCCCTTGCAGTTAAATTAAATCCTAGATCAGCTATCCATCTTGACACAAACCTATTCTCAGATGTGGGATTATTGACATCCTGGTTGAGATGGATCGCATTCTCCGGCCAGGGGGTGCTGTTATTGTTCGGGACATAGGTGACATTGTTCTCAAAGTCAAGAAGGATGCCGACCGTCTACAATGGAATAGCCGAGTTGTTGACACTGAAAATGGGCCTCTGGATCCTGAGAAGCTTCTCATTGTGGACAATTCCCTCCCACTCCCAGGGAGCTAAAGTGAGTACTAGCAAGAACCGAGATCACCAGGCTCTTCATGTTCATGACAAAAGGTTGTAGCTCTTCTCATGTTTGGAGAAAGAGCCAGTGGTCTTTTGGCTTAAGAAGATCTCACTACATCTACATGTACAGATGAAGCGTATCAGGGGACTGGGATGTATTACCTGTACAGGTGTTCGAGGAACAAAATGTTATTACCTATACAGATGAAGGGTACAAGGCTATTGGCTATCCTACAGTGATAGATTTAGAATTGCATGCAGATCTACATATATGACCAGTCCAATATATTCGAGTCACTGACGACTCCACGTCTCCACTGGATGACATTTCTTAGCTCCAATATGCAGGCCTGAGTTCTCAAGCTCTGATGATTAGCTGTGCAGCTGGAACAGTGCGTTGTCGAGTCTGTAGATATGTCTACATTGACTGTACTTTTTTTTTTTGGTAAATCCATTGCCTGTACATTTGTATATAGTGTTGTATATATATTGTGAGGCGTTGTGTTGCACTATTCTGTTTTCGAGTCTACCTTTGTTTGGTCGCTAAGCAATCTACAGCTTGTACTACTGCATATTGTGTACCGTACTGCATAGTGTGTCCTTGTCCTTCCAACTTTCCCGGTTCAGACATCAGACGGGTGCCGAAAGCGGGACGTTTGCTTGGGGTGTTGTACAAGCCAAGTGAATGTGCAGATCGAGTATGGACATGATTTTCTTAAAGGCGTTATCATAATGGCAGTTATTATTACCGCGTGGAGGTGATGCTTACTTTAGCAGTTTCCGTATATGTTCCAAATGCAGCCTCGCTATCTTTGTTTGATCCTCAGTCAGGGTTACTAATTCTGACTGGTGCTCCAGCTGAGCTAGGAAATGCTCAGAAGCCCCCTCCTGGAAATTTTATGCTTGCTCGATCCAAAAGATTTGAACAGACCGAGGAAACAAAACAAGGTCCGATCTGCACCACGAACAGACAAATTAAACCGACACAGGCCACCCGACATCATTCAGCTCACATCTCGCAGAACTATCGCACAAGGATACGGATACAGCAATCGCAGAATCTACTGAAGTGCCGACAGCTGAAAACCTCACTAGGACAAAGAAAAAACCTTTTGCGTAAAGAAAAAAAGGCAGAAAAATTCTACTTCGCATCAGTCATACCCAACAGAAAAACACACGCAGGTGGAGCCTCCGTGTCAGTTGCACGGCAGCAATTTGGTCGTGCCAGTCCCTTTGTTTTGCTTTGTTTTTCTGTTGGGTATGGCTGGTCACGCGACCGTTGCACTCCTTGCCTCGCCGGCTGGCTGTACGTACCGGAACCGGACGCTCTACCAGCTTGTTCGGCGTCAAAAAACGGGGCATTTAATTTTTTACCACTCTTACGACACAATAACATGTGTTACTGATATATGAGTCACTGGTATAGTATTTTATATACCACTCACCTCGTAAGTATGGTGAAAGTTAATTATTCTCATAAAAACTGCGCAACAAACGGCTTGTTCGCTGGTTAGTTTATTGGCTAGCTGGCTAAGCCCGGCTGAAACCGATAAAATTGGTGGAATAAAAAATGTCACTTTTATTTAATAATTTATTTAAAAAGAGAGAGAAAAGAAAAAGGGAAACGCGCTATAAAATGCGGCCACCGCCCTCCGCCTCCCACCTCTGACCTCCCGTCCCGCATTCGGGTTCGGGACGAAGTCAACGATGAGCTCAGCAGCGCCGACGCCGCAGCCCGCTCCGTCGAGGTACCCCCAGACTCTCACCTGAGTTCCTCCGTGCCCCGAGCTTATGCGGCCTCTCCGCCGAAATGCGGGCGATCGGGCGGCGCCGGCGCGGGCGCGGCGTCGCGGCGAGCTGCATCTGAGGTGCGCGGCGAAATGATGTATTTGGGCGCGTGGCTGCTGGCTCTAGAGCAGTAGAGGCTTATCTGAGGTGATTTTCTCAGGTGACTTTTCTGACGTGAATTTTGTGGCCTGTTTTTTGTGTGTGTCTAGAATGGTTATGGGCATCCTGTTTGTGCTGTGTAGTGCTATGGTTGGCCTTTTTATCGTGAATTTAGAATTTGTCTTGAACTTGACCATCTCACGAAGTTGCTAGAGACTAGCTAGTATGCACTCTACTGGCACGACAGGTTTCTCTTCAGTATTGTCTGTGTTAACATACGTGATGCATGATGTCCAAATGACTGCAGTGGTAAATATGTTCTCCTGATGACATATTTCTGGTTTGCAGAATAGGTGTAAATTAGATTAAAAGGTAGCAATGTGGCGCCGCTTTTGCTGCAATTGTCAAGTGGATGAATCCGATCAGCGTGAACATGGTCATATCAAGGTCACAGCCAACAAGATCGATGGTATGTTCGTTTCAATGTACTTGGATCATCTGTTCCTATATTCGTAACTTGCTGCCAGTTACTGAAAATGTGAACCATCTTCATGCTGCTGTATTTGAAATTCCCTTTTCTACCATCTACAGAGAATTTGATGTCATTGTATCCTTTTCTTCAGGGGTGACAAAGGGGTTGAAAGATTCTGCTACTGGAAAAGTCGAGCCGCATAATACTGCTCCCCCAATTGATATCCCTGTTCTATCCTTGGATGAACTGATAGAAAAAACTGATGACTTTGGTTCAACAGCTTTGATAGGTGAAGGTTCTTATGGGAGAGTGTACTATGCGCTTGATAATGGAACAAAAATGGCAGTAAAGAAACTTGATTCTACTGAAAATGAACCCACTACCGAATTCTTGACCCAGGCTGGTGTTGTCATTGATTATTAATCATGGGGATTTCTCTTTGGTTATTTTGTAGTGGTAATGTGTTATGGGTTCCTAATCGAATAATGATGCTTACTTCTGATGCTAGGTTTCATTGGTTTCAAGGTTGAAACATGAAAACTTTGTTGACATGTTGGGGTACTGTACAGAGCGTCGGAGCGTAATCTTCGCATAGTAGCCTATGAATTCGCCACCATGGGTTCTCTGCATGACGTTCTACATGGTATGATTTTGCATATCCTCTGCAATTTGTTGCACAACTCCACACTTAATTGAATACTGTAGCTTCAACTGATAATTTGCAATTTCGTTTTTGAATTGACGTCAATAGGAAGAAAAGGAGTTCAAGGTGCTCAACCAGGCCCAGCGCTTGATTGGATGCAGCGAGTGCAAATTGCTGTTGGTGCTGCAAAAGGACTTGAATATCTTCATGAGAAAGTTCAGCCTTCCATTGTCCATAGGGATATTAGATCAAGTAATATCCTCTTGTTTGAAGACTTCAAGGCAAAGATAGCAGACTTTAATCTCTCAAATCAAGCTCCAGATATGGCTGCCCGGTTGCATTCAACTCGTGTCTTGGGAACCTTCGGATATCATGCCCCAGAGTAAAAATCGTTTTCTTAAAGTAACTATATGTTTGTAATATGTTGCTTAACTTCAGTTGTGCTTTCTACTTTTGCATGTGTTGTCTGATTAACTTTTTAGTGTATCAGCAAGATGGGTGGTGTTTATTTCTAAGTTGTCTGATTAATTTTTCAAAAACTATGCCTTGTTATTTCTAAAGTTGAAGATTTGTTTCATATATTTGTAGATAAGCTGTTTCTAGGACATAAAGGAACACATTAGAAATCAATCACATCCTTAATATTGTAGCTTTCCAACTTTCGGGCACTTCACATGAATAGTTTAATTTCTTTAGCGCTTAGCCTTTGTCCATTGGATAGCAAGCCACATTTTGCCAAGTATATGAAGGCCACCTGTGGACCACGTTAGCTATTTCGTTTTGCTGTAGTTCTATCCCAGAAAGTTATATGAAAACCACTTGCTTGGAGCTAATAGTGCAACCTGTCCAGTTCCCGAAAGTATGGTATGGATCCCTTGCGCCAGGTGACTACTCCATGACTGTTCTTGAGACAGACTGGGCGGCAGGCCACCGAGTTTCACATTCTTGCTTAAATGTTTACCTCATTCCATAGGGAAAAATGAGATTATTATTACATAGCACTCATAGATTAGGAAAAATAATGACATTACAGCTCAATCCATGGCAATCTTGAATCTTTTGTTCTATTTTTTGCTGCTACCAGCCAATTACTTCCTGAACTACGAGCAAGCTACAATCTGATACTCTCCAGCTAGCAGCAACTAATTTGATAATAGGCATTGTTTTTTAGATTCTTGATTGAAGTAACACTGTTGTCTGATCAATCTACAATTTGACTTGAGGTTTGATTGTGCAGGTATGCAATGACTGGTCAATTAACCCAGAAAAGTGACGTATATAGCTTTGGCGTAGTTCTTTTGGAGCTTTTGACAGGTAGAAAGCCAGTAGACCATACAATGCCTAGAGGCCAGCAAAGCCTGGTAACTTGGGTATGTTAACTTGCTAACTTTCTCCTTTTTTTTCTTTTTGCAATTTGATATTTATATCTAATTAGTAGTGTCTACAATAGAGAAGCAACAAATTGTATATGTTTGTATAATAATGGTGTTTCTTAACAAGTTAATTCAGTGCCAGAGGGTCCAAGCTAAACCTGTATCATTTATGGTTTGTGTGTATGGTATCATGTGGGTATTCATCAACTAGATAATAATGTCTTCTGTTAATCCCAAAGCCAGAGTTTTTATCAATCTCTAGCATACCCCAACTTGCTTGGGACTAAAAGGCTTTGTTGTTGTTATTGTTGTTGTTGTTGTTGTTGTTGTTTTTGAGTGGCAATAAATGCGATGGTGATGAACTTGAACATCATGTATCAAATATCTTAGTAGAATAGAGAGGAAATCTGAAGTATAAGACATGTGTTCAGAGTTAGTGGATCCAATCGCTTTCCAACAGAACAGCCCCTTTTTTTTCCTCTTGTACATATAGGAGAGCTGCGTATGATTATATTAAGAAGAATAAGGAGTCTAGGCGACTCATGATTCATGAACAGCCCTTAACAGTGAGAATATTCTAGCTGTGATCTATGGAGAGTGAACCACTGCTGCACCTGAAGTTCTCAGGCTCCTCAAAAGTGACTTCAGCACGACACTAGTTATTTCAAAGGAGTTTATCTGCTGCATAGGCTGCAGTTCTTTGATATCTGAAAGAATCTACCAGATCATCATACTGCACATTGTGTACCCTCAACACGATGAAGAATAAAACAGCACCTCGTATGATCCTAAAAGTTTGATATGATGATAACATTGTTCTCACTAGTTCTCTTATAATGCCTTCTTCCGATTCTGCAGGCTACACCAAGGTTAACTGAAGACAAGGTGAAGCAGTGTGTAGATCCACGGTTGATGGGTGAATATCCAGCAAAAGGACTCGCCAAGGTTCCCCATACTATCTCTACACTGTATGCATAAGCTTGGGGCAGCTAGTGGCCTATTTTCTCTATCCACATTTTTCTAATCTGTTTTTGTCTACTCCAGTTCGCTGCTGTAGCGGCTTTGTGCGTGCAATATGAAGCTGAATTCCGCCCAAATATGGGCATTGTGGTCAAGGCTCTGTCTCCACTACTCGTAACAAAGCAGACTCCACCACCTGTTGTTGACAGTTGATGTACAGACTTAACCAAAGTAAGTTCATCGAGTCCCTTTTCCTGTCCCACTCATCATATTTGTTAACCAGGAAGTTGTATTTGATTTGGACATACAATTCAGTCTCCTTTGCAATGTTTATTAGGTTGCAAATATGAGTGGCAACAGCCTGGATACTACGGACATTTGATTGTTTCGGCTTCTCAGATTTCAATCACTAACTGCATGGAGGACGTCTTTAGTACTGCAGTAACAACTTTGCATCTGCGGTTCTACAGCATGTCAACAATTTTCATATTCATCTCAGGAAATGCCAGTATCAAGGACTAGTGACGTATTCAGTGATCAACATTGAGACTGTTATTGCAAAGATGCAGAATTGTAGAAAACCCTTCTTTTGGTGTCACAAACAGTAATGGAATCACCCAGTGATTCATATATGCTCGAAGCAAAAACTGTAACGGTAATTCATTCCGCCGCGAATCGAAAGACATTCCAAGCCAAAAAAACGTAGCAATTAGTCGTTTTGCTGTATTTCGAAAGACATGCAAAGCCCAGTAATCAGTAAACACGCCGTAGTATCTCTCATGCAACACGCACATACAGGAATGAAATCTCTGGTTGGCTCGCGCCATCAGAAACGAACTGATATTTACATTGGTGCCGCCAAAAAAAAAGGAAGGAAGAAAGAAAGAATTGACACTCAGAGAACCACGGCTGATGACTGTATCAACTCACAAGGGAGAAAAAATGGTGACGACTTTATTCCTCACTAATCTTATCTTTTTTTGAAACAACCTCACTAATCTTATCACATTTGCTTACTACCAACCACTGGCTAGAGGTATCGCCTCATCCATCCAAAGACCATTACTCTATTATAATCTACTTCACGAAGCTCGTCACTCTGCCGCCCAATATGCATATATCCTTTACTCCGCCAACAGCATGGCAGCAGTGTGTCTTTAGAGACAATTAGGTCAAATACCCGCTAAAAATACTCTCTTTTCCTCCGTGACATGGAGGAGCCATGTTGTAAGATAGTTAAGGTACATGCTGCTCTGTTGAAACAGTGCGCCTGCTGTCAGAAATGGAAGAGTTTAATTCAGAGATGTTATGGATGTTGCGCACTTGTTAAAAGGATAGCACACATCTTTGTAGCAATCGGAATTGTTTCCTCCATTCCAAATTATAGTTCATTTTTGGCTTTGTACTAAGTCAAACTACTCTAACTTTGACTAAGTTTTTAGAGAAAATATATTAATATATAAAAGTCCAAATAAATACACTATCAAAACGTCTTTTTGTTTTCTTCTTAACACAGACACACAGCTCTCATGCATGTTCAAGAAAAAAAAATCTTTTAGATGTTGGTTCATTTTTTGCATGGTCAAAGTTAGACAGAACTTCGATTTAGGAAAAACCAGAGTGAACTATAATTTGGAATGGGAGTACAATCTACTAGAAAGCAAGGGGAGAACCACCTCTTCAACAAAATCATACAGGAAGAAGTGGCTGCCTCTCGTCAGATCCATGGCGGTGTTTAGCCTTCATGATGCATAGAATGACCATTAGTTATACAGAAGTATGAAACAAACCACCTGAAATTCTAGGCAGTAGTTATTTACCTCACTTGCCACTGAATCAGGCACATTGACATAACTAGGTTCCTTTCTGCTGAGCATCATAAAAAATTATGTTGTTAACAAACATGAAAGTCTATTAAATGCAATAAGATGCACTGCACCAAGTTTTCGCAAAACAAGAAATGCCACCTGATGGTGGAATGGTAGATGGCAGAATGGACCTCAAGAACTGTTCCAAATATCTACTTTTCATGGTATTGAATGGGGTGTGAAACCTTAGCCAAAGCACAAACTACTCTAAAAGGGGCACCTGAGCACAAGACTTTTTAAAGGCCTGCCTTGGATGTACCTAAAAGATAAAGATGCTACTTCGAAATAGTCAGACTACCATGGAACCGCTACTACATACCGCGCTGACCAACACACGGCCACCAGAGAGGCGGCAAACCACGTGATCAGCACCACGACATCAACTACCTGATCAAACTATGAAAGTAGGAATCGTCATCTTTATCCCTTCTATATATCTTGCTCCGGCCACATGGATATAAACAAAAAAGCATACGCAAGTCATTGGGTTTACTTTGGCCCTCATGGAAAGGACCTATGTGAACGAGGCAAATGAGCTCATTTGGAGGACTTAACCAAACTTAATATTTTAGTCAAAGTGACAGACTATAGACCTGAGCCGGTGCAGGAGCAGGCACAACTACAGTATAATCGACAATATGATATGGCAAACCTGTGATCATGGGCTTCAGCCATTTCAACTTTGCTGCTAGGCACTTCGCCCTTAATTTGGTTAGAAAGATACTGAAAAAGAATAAATAAAAAAATTAGTAGTACAAAAACTTCAACACTATTGAATCAGTGCAAGGGGAAAAGCAAGTTACCTGATGCATAGATATGATTACTATTGAAATTCCAAGAACAAAATTTATCGTCAGTGTGTGGCCAAACAATACAGCAGATGCTACTCCGGTGAAGATAGTTGCAATAGTTGATGAGTACTTCTTTAAAATTGTATCTGCATTCACCATTGATTTGCTTAAAGATAAATATAGTCCACTTGCAAAAACTAGTATATATGTGTAGCAACCAACACGGAAATGCTACTGATTTGCTTATTCATGTACATGTACAATTTTTTTCTTCAGATATGCAGAACTGCATGCCTTTATACTAAGAAGAATACCATCCATATTACAAACCGAAAAAAAGCGGAATCGCCACAGAGATAAGCATGCGTGGAACAAACAGGATATTTGACCAATCACTAATAAATGTTCAATCTTTCAACTCCTATAAATGTCCATATTCAGCCATTAGGCAAGACTTTGGTAAGATGCATGCCCATGCAAGGTAATCTTTTACGGGTACATGCATGCAAGATAAAAAGTTTTCAGAGATACGTGTATGTGATATATATAGTGACATTTAAAGAACATATTGAATAAGAACTAATGTTTTTTCTCTTTGCTGATAATATACCTGCATACTTGAAGAAAAATGACGACAGTATGCCCTGTGCAGCATTGTTGCAGATAAGAAACATTGTGGCTTTTGAGTGTCCTTCCAGAATGTTAAAGCTACTGGGCCCTGTAAAATGTACAGGATAACTGATTTTTTACAGAACCATCAAAGTACTTAATCGTGTGAGAAAATATGTGGGCAACAGTTTCAACAGAATTTTGATATTCTGAGTCAAGGGTCACCAGTTAAAGTTTAGTTTAGATATCTAAGAATTGGATGCCTTATCTTCTAGATATTATATTTACCGAGCCAATACATCAGATCAAGTTGTAAGGGTAATCTCTAAATCATGAAAAACACAAAGTTACAAGGACAAACCAAAACAACCTACAAAAGAAACCATGGCGACATCGAAAAGCTACTAGTATTTTTCATTTATCTAAAAAAAATAGTATTTATATAGCCTTGAGTAATTGACAACTTTGCTCAACTCAATAGAACATTTTAAAACGACTATGCAATAAGCACGTTGCTTTCAAGTAGACATGCATTCTCAATAATTACCTTGGATGATGGCAGTGATCACAAGCCCAAGAAAGTTAAATATCGCACCATAACCATACAGAAACAAGTTCTGAAAACATGAGATAAAAATCGCGATCATTAGCTTCACACAGATCATAAAAGCATTAGCAAGATAGCTTAGAATAGAATGCCAGGGCAAGACAACTAACCAAATGGACACATACCTGAAGGTAAATACTGGTATCAAACTGGCTTTTAAGAGCCTTTTCATTGTAAACTGAAGCCAATGCGGGAACTGTTACCTGGTTTTGCATAAAGTTGTAAGAAATATCAACTAAATGAGGAAAAAAAACACATATTGTCTCTATGTGAAGCCGTTATACTAGTAAATTAGTCCAAGAGTGCTTAGACTATTCTAGTTCTGAATCCTTCAGTTGTGAATATTGTTGTTTTGGAAAGAGATAAATGAACCTAGATTGTTTTGGAAAGAGATAAATGAACCTAGATCAGTTATATGACTGAATAGAAAATGGATGGAAGCCTGAAACCTGGAACTGTCAAACAGAAGGGGCTCAACGATATGTCGAAGAGATGGAATGGTTGCAGAATTTATTAATATTATTACTACAGCTAATGTCCAATGCAGATGCAAACATTGTGCTGCAGTCCACTGACTGCAAGAGCACCATGCCTATTCTGTAATCTGTACAAGGAAGAAAAAGAGCTCACCAAGAAAAATTGAGTGCATAGAAATTAAACTAGCATTCCAAATTTCATGGGAGATGTGTTTTACATTGCATCAACATGTGCATTACCATAATTATGAGAAAATCAGAACTTACAAAAAATAGTGTATATAGGTAGGCTCCAGCTGCAACAGGAAGACCTAGTGCACTAGAACCTTCTGGCAATGATTTCAGCTGATTAACAGATATTCCGATTAACAAAAGGGCAAGGGCCTCCCACTGTCAATATATAAAAGCATGATGTCAACTAAAAATAGGTTCTTGAAGTCGCTAAAATATAGTACACTCAGAGATTCCTATATGTTATACAAATTGTCAAGTACCAATTACTACAACTGGAATTACACAACTTCAATAAAAATCTAGGTTTGCATCACTTTTAAGTAGAAATAGACATAGGAAAACAAAGAGTATACTTGCCTGGATTATGGAAAATCGCCTCCTCATTATCATCTTTAGAAGCACAGCGATTACTAGAACCTGCAAATGTTAGAATTCAGTATAGCATGAATACATGATTAGTGCCATGTGCAGCCAAACTCCAAACAGATGTCAAACATCAAAAGATAAACATGTATCAAGGTGGTGGCTAATAGATAATTTTAAAACAGACGAAACAAAGGGTGCATGCCCAAGCCACCAAGTGCATATGCGTGTACATACAGGCATTTGGCAAGTCACATGCCCATGTCCTAACATTTGCATATTTGCAGGCATTTAAGTGCACATATACTAATAATCCTAACATTTTTTTAAAAGAAAAGGCTAACATAATAGTTAACCATAGTAGCATACCTTGAGATTACCCAGCATTTTCACGCTAGCAGGATTAAAATATAACTGCATAAATCATAGGACTGGTAGTTAGAGAAGATGTACAAGATCCAAGTTAGGTTAATACAACTGTTAGAATCCACTACTACTACAGACAGATAAAGAACAGTAAAACCAGAGGTCCAGAGTACACCAAGTTCTGACCACTGGTGTGCTTAAAAAGATGCTTTACCTGCATTATGAACTTCAAATAGTTGTTGATAGCATAGAGAAAAGCAGGTACTGCAAGAAGAACATTATTGCGAGCAGCCTGGCCAGTGAAGAAGGATGGTTAGTGTGGTGGACAAGATCACTAAATTCGTATAGTAATATTTCAGAGCAAATCAATGGAGACCTATGGACTACAGGAAGTAGTAAAAGATTCACTGTACAGTTTCTGTAGAAGTTTACATGAGCTCTCTAGTCAGATGCGATATTATGCATCAAAATGACAGCATATGGCCAGGTAATCAAGGTCCTATTCTCTTCAGAACTAGCACGCATTTCCAACATATGGGTTTTCCAAGAGAACTATAAACTCAAGATACAAATCAGGAAGGAACTGATCTTATCCAAACTATAAACATGGCATAGTTTCAGTCTTGCAAGTCATATTACCTGCAGAAATATTGATACTGTGAGGAGTGGCTTGTCTCCCACCTTTAGACGTCTAGCCTGCAAAAGAAAAAAACCAACTCAGTAAGAAAAGCAAAGATATCAGTGATAGCAGAAGCCTACAACACTCAGTGCTCAAATTAAATGTGAGAAATTTTAACATAACACTACACAAGAATAGCATTACCATTGCTATCATTTCAGCCGCATCCAGCTAATAAACAATATGAAAACAAAAATGAAATATAGAAAGCAAAGAGCTGAAGTGAAATTACCTGGATGAACAGCATGACAATGGCAAAGATAATTTTTGTAATCTCTGTCAAGAAATTCACACTGATTGGGCTAAATTTGAATTTCCCATCCACTTTTGACATGTACACTAATATAGGCTACAAAAAATGAGGTAGAACAGTGTCAAGCAACTTTGAAAAAAAGCACAACATAGCAAACAGACAAATGAAAGAACATGCTTATTATTTTGCAAAAAATACTAGGGCAGAACTGCAGAAGTACTCCATCCCAATACTCAGACATATGGAACTCAGAAAATGGGGACTAGAATAAATTCACTGTTAATGATTGATATCATGTATTGATCATGATAATCAAATCCTCTCTTAGCAGTAGCAAATCAAATTAAGACCAGTGCTAACAGCATTGCAGGAGGCACATCCAAATTTGGGTGTGTATTCTAACAAATTCCAAAAAGAAAAAAAAAGTCAGTGACCATAACCGTCTGCAGCATCCGCACAGCCTAGTAAAAACAGTGCCAGAACAATCATAGGTCCTGAAGCTCCAGACAATATTGAGTGTGCTACAGTACAGCTAGCCAACGCCATGTTCGCTTGGCTTATAAGCCGTACTTTTTTTTTTCCAACTAACAGTATTTTTCAAAAACAACAAATCAGCCCGCAGTATGGCTTATCAGCTTATCAGCGAACAGGGCAAATTCACCTGGCTACAGACACATTCGTGGCATTATACTTTCACCTTGCTACTCAATTCGCCCCCTCATGCAGTAATCGCACCTATTAGCTGAAGTTCAACAGTCCTACGCAACACTCCGCGATTCGACACAGAACGCACTGATCAAAACCGACCAAATACAGATGGGAAGCAGCCTTCACCTGGAGGCCGGCGAGGACGCAATCGCCGGAGACGAGGAGCACGTTTAGCGCGCGCTGCCGCGACGACACGGTGCTCCGGTGGCTGTCGTACGCCTTCGACACCGCCGGCGGCACCGGCACCTTCGCATGGCACACGCTACATTCCACCTCCCCGTTCATTCCTGCCGCCGCCGCCGCCTCAGGCTCGCCAAAACCCCGCGGTTCCAATCAGCTGCGCCAAAAAACGGCAGGAAAATCAGAGGAGAATCAGCAAAAATCGCGGGAAAAACCAGGAGCGAACCGGGACAAACCAGGAGAATGGTGGGAACTGGGAACCCTAGCCTCTGGTGCGCGCCCCCACCATGTGAGCTCGCGGGGACCGAGGCGATCGGGATTCGAAGCTCCTCGAAGGCGCGGTGGGCGAGGCCGTGAGGGAGAAGGGGGGCGAGGGAGGGCAATGCGGCAATGGGGAGCGGAGAGGGGAGCTGAAAATGTATATACAAAATAATTAAATTGTTCCTATGGAATATGCCACGAGAACGAAAGAGTGGAGGGATTTTCTGCAAGATTTCGCTTCCAAAGCCCCTGTACTTTATGGTATTTTAATACAGAGTAATATTTATTTTATCGCTGATGGTCCTTGATATAGCACTAGTATTTTTTGTCATGTTTTATCCCCTGCCCAAGCATAATATAACTGGGTTCTTGTTTGGATACACGGTAGATTCTAGAAGCTAGGTTAACATTGAATTTGGTAGAAGCTAGGGTGGAGGGTTGTTTGGATCCATATATTCTAAAAGCTTAGATAGACTATTATTTTTTTTGAAATTACCTTAATACCCATACTCTTTGGTCACTAGTGCATTGTAGCACAATGAAAGGCAAGATAGTCATTTGAAGTCTAGAAGTTGTGAAAAACTCGGTTTCTTCAACGTCCGAGATTGTGGAATATGCACTTCTTTAGATTGTAAAAGTTGTTTTATAAGCTGGGCATGAGTCTTCAAGTGTCACTAGGGAAACAAGTCGAAGTGTCGACAAGCCCATAGATAAGGCGTGTTTAGTTCCTTGTATCTGCCCCGGCCTGGCCCTCGGGATGCGGTTTTCTATCGTTTGGATGCCTGCATGGGGTTCTAGGCCTGGCCCTGGGCGTGCAACGCGCTCCCCCGAGCCTGGCTGCCGGGAAACAAAAATGGATTTCGTTTCTTGGTGGCCTGGCTCTCAGGGACGAGAGCGAGCGCTCAACGACCAGAAAAATTGGCTCTCCGGATGCAGACGGGAGATGGGGCGCGCACGGGAAGCTAGGGTTACTGTCGTCCCTTTCGCGCCATCCTTCCGCGTTATAATCCTCACCGCCGCCTCCCCTCTCCCCATTCTCTCCCTCGCACTTGCCCTCTGCCTCTCCGCTCTGAGCTCTCTCGCTTTCTCGTCTTCCTCTTCCTGCTCGTCCAGATTCTACTGGTGTTAGCAGGTGATGCATCCTCCCTTCCTCTTGCTCCAGATCCACGGTGTTTGAGGCTCAATTCAATCTATGCCGACCTTCTCTTCTCCCTCTCTTCATTTTTCGTAGGTTTGAAGTTTGATTCGTCAGGGTTTCGTGGCAAAGAGAGCAGGTAACCTATAATCCCTCGCAGATCTGGTGTTGCTCCCTTTCCCCATCGGCTTTGTTGGGTTTCTAATGTATTTGAGCATTTATAAGGTTCGATTTGTGCTGGTGACTTCGTTGGAGGTAAAAAGGCAAGTTTCCCCCCCTAAAGTTTTGATCTGTTCTTGTTTCCCCAGATTGGATCTACCTACTTGTCATACTAATTTATTTTCTCATGTGCAGATCTGCCTTTACCTTTCCTTGGCTATTGAACTTCTGAAAGCCCTGCGACTTTTTTTTGCAAGGAGCCAGCGGTAACGATTTTTCCAGTGAGCCCATGTCACTAGCCAATGATGATTGCTTACTCACTATGAAAACTGAGCACATGTTCTTAGCCGATGATGAATGCTTATTTATTTTGAAAAGTGAGCACATGTTCTTGGTCGATGATATTACTTTATAAATACGAAAACTGAGCACATGTCCTTAGCCAATGATGCATGCTTGTAAGGTTGAACTAGCTATATCTGAGCTCTTGTGCATTAGGCGATGATGATATTATTTTTTGCTGACCAACTTGTTGAATGATGAAAATGATTTTTTTTTTACTGAGACATGCTTTGCATTTTTTAACTGCAATAGATGAACGCTACCGAGCAGAGACGCATGCTTGTGATAAAAGCTGCTGCTTTTGTGTCTGTCATTTATGCCTACTTCATGAGTAGGCTGAGAGTGGCACGTAATTCACAGCATCGGATCACATATGCCCAATTAGTGCCATGGATGAGGAACGCCAAGCTAATCCAAAACAAAAAATTTAATTGTAATGACATAGAATGTGTTAACATGATGTGTATGCGTAGAGCTCCCTTTTTCAATCTATGTAACATACTTAGGGACAGAAACTTGCTAAGAGACACCATAAACAATACTGTGGAGGAACAAGTAACAATGTTTCTCCATGTTGTGGGACACAACCAAAGATTTAGAGTTATTCACCAAACATTTAGGAAGTCCATGAAAACAGTTAGCAGGTATTTCAGGGAGGTCTTGTATGCTATTGGTGAGCTTAGGGGAGAGATGATAAGGCCACCATCACCTGAGACAGACTTAAAATCAGAACAAGCCCAAGGTGATATCCTTATTTTAAGGTAATTAAATGAATTTAAGGTTTAACTCTACCCAACTGTAGTAGTCCTGACCAAACTTTAATGACCAGTCTTGCTATAATGTAGGATTGTATTGGTGCAATAGATGGTACTCATGTTCATGCTAGAGTACCAGCAAAGATATCTGCAGCATTCAGGGGTAGAAAGCACTATCTTACTCAAAATGTGCTTGCTGCAGTGGACTTTGATCTGAGGTTCACCTATGTGCTAGCTGGATGGGAGGGATCTGCACATGATGCCCTCATTTTAGCCGATGCTCTAGAGAGGGATGATGGGTTAAGGGTTCCTCCAGGTACTTGTAACATAAATTTTTAGGCAAACAACAAATGGGATTTCAAATAAACACTATAACTGATTCTTGGCTATCTAATTAATTGTTTAGGTAAATTCTACCTAATGGACGCTGGCTATGCATGTCGCCTTGGATTTCTACCCCTTACCACTTGAAAGAATATGGTGGACCAAATTATTCTACCAATAAGACAAAGTTGTTCAACTTGAGGCATTCAAGCCTAAGGGTCACAGTTGAGAGGGCATTTGGGGCTTTGAAGAATCGATTCCGTATCTGAGCACAACTTTTGCCTATTATGAAGTTCACTTGGCTCTGATATCCTATTATTCATACTTGCTATATCTGAGCACAACTCTTTTGTATATTATGAAGTTCTTTTAAATTCATGCATGATCTGAGCACAACTCCATTGCCTTTATGATGACCTGATTCATTTGTGCATGATCTGAGCACTACTCCATTGCCTATTATGAGGTTCTCTTTGATTCTTGCATGATCTGAGCACAACTCCATTTATTTATTCTTTCCTTGTCAATTGTTTCTATTTTAATATACTTACATTGTATTGCTGAATTTTACATCACCTAGAATTGACATTATGACTTGTATACTGTGGGCACCAAGCTGGAGTGTTCTCCTCCTAGAGAGAATGCCATGCAAGTGTCAATGGCTTCAAGGGAGCCTGCTACAAAGGATACAAGACTGAAGAAGAATCTTTGGCTGCCTATCACAACCAAAAGGGTGCTCAAGGCCCTGTTGATCAAGTCCCTATTGACTGCAAGGACATAAAAAAACTAGACAAAACAATCTTCACGATCAAGGATATCATTATCATTGTCCAATTCATTATTATCTTAGTTTTATTGTACAAGTTAATATAATTATTAGTTGTAATATTGAGCCCGTAAGGCTGTTGTATGAGGAGATATGGTATGAATGGCTGGGTTGGACTGTGGTTGTGGTAACCTCACCGAATTCAATCTTGAGGTATTAACTCTAGTAGATACAGCCAACCAAACAACTGCATGTTCTTCTCTGCTTGTCAGTTCCTAGTTCATACACGCAACCAAACATGTTCTCTGCTCATCCTGTCTACATTCATCCGAGCAACCAAACAATGGCCCAGTTCACTTCACTGGAAAAAAGAAGCCGAAACACTATTCCGACTGATTTATTGTGAGAGAAAAAATATTGTTCCAACTGAAAAAACAAATCGAAAAAGATGAATTACTCCCTCCATCCCAAATTGTAAGTCATTCAAGAATCTTGGAGAGTCAAAGTTTTTCAAGTTTGACCAAATTTATATAACAAAATAATAATATTTATCATACCAAGTATCATTAGATTCTTCATTAGTTATATTTTCATATTATACCTATTTGATGTCAAAATAGAAAATCTTGGTGTGGAGTGAGGATGAGGATTAGGGTTTGAGGGAGTTCGGAATATATATACTCATATGCTTATATGGGCCAAATATGGGCTATATGCTTATATGGGCTAAAATTGCAAAGGTTAGATATTATTTATATGGTTTTTTACATGGGTATGCGGTATATGGGTAGTATACACCCAAGGTAGAGATACCGATGGGTACAAGAATTCATCCAATAAACGCGAGCGGGACCAAAATGTCTTCCATACCCGCCTGCATCCATTGGGCCTGTCCCAGCTCAGCCCGGATACTAGATGCGAGCCAGACTACCGAGGGAAGCGAAACAAACGCGCCCTAAGCCATTGTAAACGGGTTCTTGTATCATCAAACAAGAAGAAATGAGAAAAGGCCAGGGTTCGAACTGAAAAAAACCAGTTCTGCTGGCGCGCCGGCCACCACCGCCACTGCGGATGCGGAGGAGATCGCTGACTTTGATGAGGATAGATAGAGATGACAAAGTGGAGACCAGCCAGACAACGGCTGGAATTCCAGAACTACCCCGACCCCTTGGCCGCATTTGCACGCAGTCCCTTGAGGTGCTCGAGGATAGGAAGGGTGATGCCGGTATTGTACATGAGTCCGGTGTGGCCGCGCCGAACTGGTTAGGGGAAGATCAGTTAATCGCAGATAGTACAGTACGAGGCTTCAGCGACCGTGATGGAGTCAAGGGCTCCACATGGAAGCTTCTGAATCGTCGGGAGCCGTGCGGGCGGCACGTGTGCTGCGCGTGCGGACCGGGCACAAGTGGTGGTACTCACTACTCACCGACACTGACAGCGATTTTTTTTTTCTCCTCGTTGCATTATTGACTGTCCAGCAGCAAAGCGCCGCAGAGCAAATGCATGTGTGTGTGTGAGGTTATTTATATGTGATGTGATCCGTCACAAGGATACCATGCGATACAGCGATAGGAGTATAGGACAATCCATCTGCAGCAGGGTTATTAGAAACACAAGACCAGTAGATCATTATGTATTATGCGTGTTACAAATCAGTGGAGTTTCTTCTCTGCGGAGTTTCAGCTAATTTGCAGCTAGGCTGAATAAATACATCTTTTATACAGTTGAAGCTTGACAAATGACAAGCAACCATACACTTTCTTTACTTTTGCAAATTTGTTATAAAACAACATAGGCCCTGTTCACTTCTTTTATAATCCGTCTTTTTCTCTCACAACAAATCAGCCGGAACAGTGTTTCGACTTTTTTTTTAGCGAAGCGAACGGGGCCCAGTACATGGCAATATCAGAGTAGCACAAAACAAATCAATATGGGAACTAATCAACCCTTGGATTAGTAGCCAAAACTCCCTTCAGTACATTATTACAGGAGTACAATAATTAGAGCACCTAGTGATCATTACAAGGAAACAGTAAAAAAGAACCAACAGGTCCTGCATTTGCAAACGCTGCATTATGCAGACAGCAGACCACCCTGAGGAATGACAAGCTTCTGAATCCTTTCGTAGGAACTCAGACCATGGATCTCAATCGAGATCTGTCGCTGTTCCGGATCATGATTCCTCCCCCTCCCAAGTTTTTGCAGAAGCAGATGAGATCACTCATGTTGCTTCCATGCCAGAGAGCAGAAGCACCCCCTTTCGCTCCCCGTGTCCCAAAACCATATAACCAGATTCTTCAACCTCCAACCGACCTTCGATTCAGCCGTCATAGGCTCATAGCGTACACTAACAGAAAGCAGCTAGCCAGCCTCTAGTTTAGCTGCAGAGCTTGACAGTGCATGCTACTGCTTGAGCCCAATACTTCAACCTGGCCTTCACTTCCTCTGGATCGTCACCTGCCAGAACCAATGCTGATCAGCAAAGAAAAACGGGTCTTTCATAGTAGAAATCAATCACAGGCAGAACAGAATCTCAGGACTAAAGGGGCAACGCCCAAACTAGGTAATATATACGGTCTCATGTTGGAGGACATGGTTGTGTACTTGTGCTGCGCCGGAATCCGTGGAATGAAATCAGGTGGGGATTCTTTTGATCCCCCGTCGTTTGCCTCAAAAAAATTTACAAAAGTGAACCCATTTGCCGGTTTCCGAAAAATGGACCTTTGGTAAAGGTAGAATAATCTTTCTTCAAATTTACGCTCCCTTTTTTTGAGGAAACGTGTGCTGGAAAGGAGATAGCATAATTCAGTGGAGCCTAGTCTTGCTTTGCTTTGTCGTGAAGATTGTCTTGGAGAAGACTGTAAGCACTTACTGAGAAAAGTGACATCACTGAGAAAACGCATGTTATGTCTGGTCACTTCAATATGGTGATATAACCAATAATGCAAGTATAGCATTGTTCCTCCACTATGAATCAAAATGATGAAAGTTTTCTTTGTTTTCGTTTGCTGCCGAATTCAGATACCCAAAAGGTAGGTAGAATCCCCTGCAGTGTCTATCATCCATGTTCCTTCTATGAAATAGAGTATAGAAGAAGAGGTTTTTATTCTCTATGCCAAGCCTCCTATAAAGTACTCCTATAAAACTTTAAAGGCAACACAACCCTTCAAAAACAAAAGGAATGAATCAGTATGGCTCCTACTAAAGAGTCTAAGACCAAAAAAAAAAAAGAGTTCTGAACCTGGCAGTCCGAGCACCTAAGTATGACTGAACTCATGAGTTTTCGAATTAGTGTTTCTAAAAGAGATACAGTAACCTACTCTGCAACATCTTGAGTTCTTTCATAATTAAATGTTGTCACAAATCCTTCTTAAAAAAAGATCTCACTGCAAATTATTAATCAAGATGCATTCAGCACCTTACTGAAAACGAGAAAAATGATGCACTAATTGAATCGAGCAAATTGTTATACTAGCAGCTCAAGGAGCACCTAGTTCATCAATCATCCAACCATACACCAGTTCAGCAATCTACCAAAACATGCTTAATATTTTTTTTTCTGATTTTCGCTATTCTGAAAAAGAAAAATACGCGACTGCCTCTTCCTGCTCCTCCACCCTCAACCGGGATGCATAACGTTTGAAACGAATTACTCAGAAATAAAACATGACATGATTTATTGGTGCAGTGTATTTACACGCATAGTGAAGTATGCTTTGTCAGAAACTTCTGAATTTTGGGCCAGAAGTTGTGATTCCCCCAAAACAGAAAACCGCCAGGCCTTCACCGTTAAAGCTATTAATTCACATCATCCCAATTGAATGGAAGACGAATTTTCACCAAATTCGAGAACTGAGTAGCGAAAAGTGTTTTTTACCCGGTCCAGAGATCCTCCAATTGGGGAGCGGCGGCGACGCAGGCTCCTCCTCCAGCTCCTGCCCGGGCGGCCTCTGCTCGTCGAGGAACCTCCGGGTCATGGAGTAGCAGAGCTCGAGCGCGGGCAGCGTCCCACAGAGCTCGGGTATCTCGCTGTACGCGAAGCCGAAGCCGAGGTCGAGGCAGCCCTTGAGATCATCCAGGTCGTCCTCCGTGAGGCTCTTCGTCCTGGCCACCCCGCCGTGGCTGCCGCTGGCAGAGGACGCCTCCACCATCACGAAGCTGCTGCTCCGCCGTGGCTGCCGCACCAGGCTGCTGCTGGCGGCCTCGGCGGTAGGGTCGGCGGTGGAGGTCGGCAGCTGCGGCTGCGTGGAGAAGTAGGCGGTGGAGGTGGAGGAGACGGCCGCCATTTCCCTGCTCGGTTTTGTTTCTCTGATGCCGCTCAGGTACTCAGGTTCGAGTTGGGCGTCTTGCCTATATTTATGTTTTATGAGGCTTCTACCGACGTCCCATTAATTTTTTTTTATAATTATACATAAGCCATTAAAAAAAGTTTAGCTCCGATGAGTGTAATCATTCTAAACTTCTTTACTCTTCAAGTCATTATGTCCACTTTTTTTCCATTTAACAGTGTCAAACAGACAGATGAAATAACCATTTTACCCTACGGTAGGTCCATTTGTCAGCCACCCAAACTTTCTCTTTCTCTTCACTTTCCTATGTACACGAAGGGCCGAGGGAGCTCTACGCTGCGGCCTGCTTCTCCGCCCTCGTTACCGTCCCGAGTGCTCGAGGTGGTGCGGCCATAGGCTCGAACGCCGGCTTGATGAGATCGCAGACGGTGGGGTTGGCTCCCGGCTTGGCGCGGCGGCGAGCCTCAGCGGTGCAGGAGGCCAAGGCCGAGGTCGACGGAGACGTGGAGACGCCAACGCCCAGAGCGATGAGCCCCGGATCGCGTCCCCTCAACTGGCGATCGCGCAACATGGTGAGCACGAACACGAGAAGGCATCGCGCTGCTGCCCACGCTGCTGACCCCGGCGACATCGCGCCGCCGCCAACGCCATTGCCGAAGCGCATGTTAACTGCTTCACGCTGCCTTGCACCGACGTGGCCGCTACCGAGCATCGCATCGTGCCCGACTATGCTGCCGCTACCGGCCTCGATGGCCCAACACAGGCGCAACTGCCAGCTGTGCTCGAGGCGGCCATCGTCTTGCACGCATCCGGTAGAGCTCGCCGCAGCCACCGTCTCACGCGCCCGGTGGAGATCAACCGCGCGTCGCAGACGCCGCCTTCTCGCGCCCTCCTCCACTGCGGCTCCTCAGCACAACTCAAGCGACTGAAACCCCTGTACCTGATGCTCTGGCCACGCGTGGTGTACCTGGTGGACTTCGCGTGCTTCCGCACCAAACCCAACTACCACGTCCTGTTCGCGACGTTCTTGGAGCACTCCCGCGTGTGCCCGGGCTTCAACTAGCATAGTGTCCGGTTCATGACGTGGCTGTTGGAGCGGTCCGGGCTCGGGGAAGAGATGTGCCTGCCGTACGTGCAGCACTACATCCCCCCGTCATGTGACCTTGAGTCCTCCCGCGCCGAGGCCGAGCTCGTCATCTTCTCCGCCATCGACGACCTGCTTGCCAAGACCGGCGGCCGTGAGCGCGCTCAGGGGGGAGCTCCGCCCCAGCCGCCACGAGTGCGTGTGGAGGGCAGCTTCGCCCCGGCCGCCCGCGGGTGCGGGCGCGGGCGAGCTCCGCCCGGTCGCCCCGAGCGCGGACGAGCGAGCTTCGTCCCGGTGTGGGTGCAGGCGAGCGAGCTCCACCCCGGCATCGGCACGGCGCAAAGTTGGCGCACGGCGAGGAGGAAGGTGGTGCCGGGTCGCTGACAGTTTGGCCCCACTAGACAGAGAGAGAAAGAAGCAAGAGAATAGGACAAGATAAGGGTATTTTGGATGTTTACACTAACCGGACCCATATGTAAGGGCTGCTAAACGGTAACAAACAAACAGAACACAGACGAAATGGCTTGGAGAGCAAAGAAGTTCAGAACAATGTCACCGTGGGAGCTCAACTTTTTTAATAGCCTGTGCATAATTGTAAACTTTTTTAATGGTACACGGGTAAAAGCCTCTATATTTATAAACGAAGCGAATGTTTCTTGGTTTACAAATGATTTTTGTGGGGTAGTATCTTTTAGAGTACTTTATTAGGCAATTTATATTTATGGTTGTATTATGTGGTAATTTAGTTGTGACGTTTTTTACCAGGCTAGTACTACTATTTTAAAGCTAGACATATATAACTTTAATTTTGTATTTAGACATAGTGTATATCTAGATACATAATGAAAATTATATATTTAAAGAAGTTGAGCGACTTATAATTTAGAATGGAGATAATATTGTGAAAGGTTTTGGTGGTAAACTTTATGTTGAGGAAGGTTTAAATGGTTTAAGGCATATAGGACAACTATTTGTGTCAATTACAATTTAAGCCCATTTAGATTAGTTGTTTTTTTATAAGCTACAACCTGCAATAGTTACTAGGAGCCAACCAGTAGATTTTTATAACTGGATGGTTGAATAGTTCAAAATGGACAGTAAGTTAGGCTATTTGAAACAACTAGAGCTTCACCGTGCTATAGTATTGTATAGCTCTGTTTATCAACTGTTACAGAGGCCCTCTACTAAATATTCCCTCCATTTCAAATTATAAATCGTTTTGACTTACTATGTATCTAGACATAGCGCAAAACTAGGTGCATAGGAAAAGCTATCCCTCGCTCCAAATTATAAAATGTTTTGGCTTTTCTATATACATAGCTTTGATATGCACTTAGATATAAATTATGTCTAGATACATCGATAAACAAATGTATGTAGAAAAGCTATATACTCCTTTCGTTCCAAACTTAGGGCTTATTTGGAAACATAGCAATCCCTTTTGATCCATACATATTGGGAGGTGTGAAGCGGAAAAACTAGTATATTTTCACTCCATTTCATATGGATTCGGTTTTCATGAAGAAACATTTTGAGTGAAACAGGTTTGATTATCTAGAGAAAAGTTTTTCCTAATCTCTAGCAGAATCCAACAGTCATTTTTCATGAAGATATGTTTGGTATGAATCCAAATTCTCCTAGAAATGTTTCATATCCATATTCTCTACAAATGTTTCTATGTTGAATCAGAATCACTTAGTGGAACCGTTTGATGGCTTGTTAGATTCTTGAAACTAGAACTAGAATCAAGAGAAACCAGATTTTGGGATGTTTGCATTGTTTGATGTACTAGTACAAAATAACCTTGTTTGTTTTTTGTGTCCCTTTTTATTATACTAATATATAAATAAGAATATATTCTAAGTGATTCTTCTTTAAACGTTCCTCTCATTGTGGAGTTTGCCAGGATTGTCCTAGTGATTCTGTTGAGAATCTAAATCATTTCTTGCCGCATAACGCAAATCTTACCCTGAATCATTTGGTACAGATCCTCCGGTTGCTCTCCTTAAACTTTTTGTTTAATATGGATTCTCATGTTTATGCGGAGAGACGGCTCAAAAATTATATGAAAAATAGGCCCTAAGCATATAAACCCATGCCGACAAGCCTCAGCCAGGAACTAACGCCTTATTCGCTTGGACTTGTTTGGCTTATAAGCCGTACTTTTTCAGCTAACAAATAGTATTTTTCTCTCACACCAAATCAGTCCACAGTACTTTCAACCATGGGTTATCAGCCAAACAAGCTTAAGCGAATAGGGCGTAAGTTTCCAAAACTACTTTTTATCTAATTGCACGATTAGGTTCAGCTGCCTAAACCGCAGTGACGTGTGCACGCAGGGACGTGTGCAACCTGCTGTGTCGTTGCAAATGTGCAGCACAGCAGCAGGATGCATTGTATTGAATGTATGCAACGAATTGAATTTGTGAATCGTGATGCATGTGGCAAAACGCAAAACCAAAAGGAGGAGCCGCGCGAGCGCGCGGTCGGTCGGCGACATGCACGTCTTTCTCACGAATTATATTTGGACGGATAAGTACAGTGCTTGTTTTTATTTGTTTTCGTTGTATTATACGTAGTGAAAAAAGTGCTTGTGTTTCTCGTACTGTTAAGGCGACATTATATTGCGCCGTGCATCATATATCAACCACAGTTCACGAACAAGGATTTTTCGCTAACGAAAAGTGATCCAGCCAAAATCTACCTTCTTGAATTCTATTCTACGGCAGCTCCGTCGCATCCACCGCTGCAGCAGCTCCGCCCCTCCTCGCTGCACCCACCGCCGCCGCAGCCTCCCAGCCTCATCCGCCCACCGCTGCAGTAGCTCCACTCCTACCCGTCTGCTGGGGTCACACACACGCTCCCCGTGGCTGCTAGCTCCAGCTGGACACCCCATCCCATCATGACGCCTGATCTACCAATCAAGATCGCCAGGAGCTTCCTCCGTTGTTCCACGCGGTGATTTCATCCCATCGCAATTTTGCTTGGTCAGTGGGGGAGGACTGTGGAGGTATCGCAAGTGTCCCATGGATACAATTTGAGTTGAGATAACAAGGCGAATGGTGGACAAGCAAAAGGCTGCTCAAAGGATCAACATCTAGGGGGGGGAAAGCTTTCAAGCCAAAGATCTTTCAAGTTCTTGGGGCTTGGTTGATCATCTCTAGCATGCCTCCGCTCCCGTGGACCACCTCGCACTATGTCTCACCGAGAAGTTTGGTCATTCTCTCACTTTCACAAGGGGAGATTTGTCGGCACCGCATCTCCACAAGCCCCATGACATGAGGGAAGAGCATGGTCAACGACAACTACATAGGGTATCAAGATCGCATCATAGATAGAGAATCAGATTGCAGCGGCCACTACTTTGTCGTCAGAGAACAAGATGTTGGCGTTGTTTAGTAGGCAGATAGCCCAGGCATTCGGTATCAACCGAAGAGAACAAGATGTTCCTTCCAGATCTTGCCCCGGTGATTTGAAGCATCTCTTGAAGCCAACCAATTCGAACTTGAACAGTGGGGGGACTGTGGAGGCATTTTAGGACCCCTACTGCAAGATATCCTCGGAAGACGCATGCCGGACTACACCTCCTCTCTCCAAGCTTGGGATCCTCTGTAGCTGACAAAAACATCAATCAATTTGAGCCCAACATTCAAGTGTTTAAAGATAACAAGAGTAAGGAATGCTCCTACCTCCAAAAGGACAAGCAAAAGGCTACCTACTCAAAGGACCAACATCGATCTTCATGTGTAACACCCTAAATTTTGCATATTTTTGAAAAGGAGAAAAGTGATTAAGCATTTTGTGGGAATTTAAAAGCTTTATTTTTATGAAATTAAAATCAAATATAAGGTTAGAAATCTTTCAAGTTCTTAGGATGTTCGAATTTTTGGAAAATTGTAGAAAAAAAGAAGAA